TCTTTATTTCTTTTTTCTCAATAGATTTTATAGCAATAGCAATAGCAGTAGACTTATATACCGCTTCATAGGCCTTTCAGCCCTCTCTAAGCGGTTTTACAGAGTTAGCATATCGCCCCCACAGTCTGGGTCCTCATTTCACCCACCTCGGAAGGATGGAAGGCTGAGTCAACCCTGAGCCGGTGAGATTTGAACCGCTGACCTGCTGATCTAGCAGTAGCCTGCAGTGCTGCATTTTAACCACTGCGCCACCTTGGCTCCTACGTTTTTCATAAGGGCCACGTCCTCTTGCCTGGATCGAGATGTATTTTCGAGTTATTTTTTGTTATGAGATTTATTTGTTCATTTATTTTTTCAAAGAGCCAGAAGGCGAGAGAAGAAACGATGGATGGAAACTAATCGAGAGAGAGAATCAACCTGGAATTACGGAGAAACTTCCTAATGAACCCAGTGGGAACAGCTTGCCACCAGAAATTGTGGGCGCTCCATCACTGGAGGTTTTTAAGAAGAGACTGGACAGGCACATGTCTCAAATGGTATCGGGTCTCCTGCTTGGGTGGACTAGAAGACCTCGAAGGTCCCTTCCAGCTAATATTCTGACTGAATCCTTGGAAATTTACAGCATTTTTCTACCACCCCTCTTCCAAAGTTATATTCTCCAATGGATTTCTTGAATTTCCTTCCAACAAAGATCATAGATTTTATTTAATCCTAATTCCAAATCTCTTTGAAGAGCAAGGAAATAATTCCTCACCGTTCTACCTGAGAGGCAGCAGCTCATGGCCTCTTAAGTCCCCTTTTTCCTTCAAGCAGGTTCATCTCAAGATCATCATTCCTTCGGCCAGGGAAGGAAGCCCCTTTTCAGAACCATCAACCTGTCTTCAAGATGCTTTATCATCCATCTCGACCCGTGACTTGGTTCTCACAACTGTTGCTCTCGGGTCTGTTCCTTCATCTGTCTTTTTGGAAGTTGATCCTAAAATACCCCCCCCTCAGGATACCATGTCTGATTCCCTTCAAGGTTCCTTACTTCTGTCCTTTTTTGGAGAAAACGCTTTGAATTTCAGAAAGCAACTTCAATGGATAATCTTCTGAAGGACATCTCGGATGACCTTCTTCTGAGGCCGCTCAATATCTCTGGATCTTCCTTTCCCTTCTGATAAGACTTGTTTCCTAGTCCTCCACTTCTGAAGGACCTGGCACAGCAAGTTTCCCTAGAAACCATCCCTGGATGAAGTGTCTACACATTGGAGGAAGCTATTTTCCTGTCTATGGAGTTTTTTTCCTGAATAAGGAATCAGAGCAAACAGGAGGCCCCTTGATCTTTGAAGGATGTCTTCCCGAAGACTTTCCTTTTGGTCATCTTCATGCACAAAGTCTCAGAAATATAGTAAGCTGCCACGAGAGAGCATTGTTCCCACTCATCTATACCCTGTGTGAGCATCCTAATCATTTGGAGGTGGGTGTTGTGGCCCGCCAGCGGTCAGTGGAGCTGGCAGCAGATTCGGACAGTGAGGAGGTTGAGGAGGAAGATGGGCCTGTCCTGGAGTCTGGGGAAGGCTCTGAGGAGGGCTCTGTGTCAGAGGCAGAGAGGGGGCCAGGGACGTATGCCAGTTATCAGCTCCCTTCAGAGTCAGACATCGGTGAGGCAGGGGAACAGCTGGAGCCTGTTCCCAGTGT